TCCCTCCCTCCGTCTCTCCCTCCCTCCCTCTGGGAGCTGGGGACGCCGGGTAGTCCAGGGAAGGGAACACGAGAGAGGGCGCAGAGAAGAGGCGGGTCAGACGAACTGGGTAAAACGCAGAAAATACTCTCCGGCGTGCGACAGTCAGGTGCGCGCCGAGGCCGGTCGGCAGCGGTGGCAGTAAGGGTGTGGCCGGAGCCAGGCGCCAGGGGGCGCCGGCGCGAGGAGGATAGGCCGACCCGGGGCGGGCGGCGACAGCGGGAGTCAACACAACTAATTCCGTCCCGTTCCCAGCCCGGCAAAAACAATAATCAATCTTCATCCTTCTCCGGGAAGGCCCCCCGCAGCGGCGCCGCCGGTGGCTCTGGTGGTTGTTTCGGGCGAGGTGGGGCGAGGTGGGTGACTCTGTCCCACGGTGGGTGTCCGACCACCACCCGGCCGCCTGTCAATCCGTTATTCGGACGAGCGCGGCCCGCCCGCCCACCTTACCTTGCCGAGGAAATGAGAGGCAGGGGGATGGGCGCAGGGCGAGAGGCGCTGCGCTGCGCTGGGCTGCGCCGGGCACGCCACGGGGAGCTGGGGCCAAACTTGATGCCGGCGCGGCGCGGGTCCCTGATCAATACTGCATCTCCCGCTGCTATGGAATAGATTAGAACGACAGGACGGGGAGGATGTGGTTGTGCGTCCGGGGCAGGGCCGGGCGGGGCCAGGCGGGGCCGGGCAGGGTCAACAACGAGGCAGGGGCACCCAATCGATCACCTTTAACACGATGACGCTGGCCTCCCCCGGCCGTCTCCGCGGGGCCGCGGGCCGCGGGGGTGGAAGGGGCGCGACGGGACGGGCGCCGAGAGAGAAGAATGTCAACACAAATTTTGCACATTGTCAAACACGCCCCGGCCCGTCGCTGGGCGAGGCGGGGCGTGGCATGGCGTGGCGGGGCGTGGCGGGGCGTGGCGGGGCGTGGTGGGGTTCGGATGGGGTGACTGGGTCCCTCCGCCCCATCACTCACCGTCAGCGCCGCTTCCTCTGACGCCCACGACGCTGCTGCGCCTCTTCACCCGCGAAATTCGCACGAGAAAATACACTTTGCTCGGGCCGCGCATTGCGGGGCCGAGTCCGGCAGACAGCCGTGTGGGGCCGGCGCCAGGGCGCACCACCAGGGCCCCGCTGCGCTTCGCTGCGCCAAGCCCGTCGTCGGGTTGCCTAACTGCGGGGGGCAGCAGCCTTCCCCTTCACTGCGGGGCGGGGCGGGCGGCCACGTCAAGGGGCGCCTAACGATGAGGTCCTATCTGCCGCGCGACGCCCGCCAGCCGGCGCCGTCACCCCCTCTGCTCCGGAACGGCAAAAGAAAGGAGGGTGAAAACTGACATTTTCTGTTACTCTTTCTTTTTATTTTGATTAAAAATAAAACTGGTAAAGTGCATAAATGTGTGTTAGTCGGGTAAAGCCTTGCTTTGGTTTGCGCGGCGTGCCTCCCGCGAGGTTCATAACTTCCGCTCCCTTTTCGTACACCGCCCTCCCACAACAGCGATCATCACTTTTCCAAAGCAAGGCTCGCTCCCGGTGGGCGGGGTGGCTCGGTCGTGGGAGG